GGCCCAGCCATCTATGTGAAGAGAAGGGCAGCTGCCGAGACCAGCCACGGGCATGACTTTCTTAGAACGAAGGAAGAAAAAGGGGTGGTCCTTCTGGCAGGCCAGCCCTGCCCCAGAGCCTTGGGGAAACAGCAGAATATAATGGCCCAGTAGGGGAGCCTGCAGGAAAGACCTGTGTTGGGCCTGTTAGCCTCCTTCCTGGTCCTCATGTGGTCTACCACATATGGATGGACACCCCTTTTTGATGCACAGCTTGGGACACAGAGACCCCGCGTCAGATGCAGACTGGGCAGGCACAGTGCTCAGCAGAGGGGAGAGCTAAGCTGCAGCCCCAGAGGGGGCTGAGTAAGGAGAAAGCAGGTAAGCGGCCCCCAACAGAGTTCATTTGGACCCTGAACCCCTTCCTTCCCTTTCCTCATCTCTGCATCCAGTTTTTTTAGAGCAATTAAGTAGATTCACTTCCCCACGTTTTTCGAATATTGCTTTCTGAATTACAGTTTATGTAACAAAGGTCTGTTATAGTAAGTTATGCCTCCTAGTTGTCAGATGCCAGGAGAAAAAATGTACACCCACAGACTCCAGGATTTACCTCCAGAATCCCCACTCATTTACAAAGCAAAAGATTTTAAGAGATTAATGTTGCTAATAAGAGCTAATGTTTATGAAGTTCTTACCTTTTACTAGGCACCATTTTGACTACTTTATAATAACTCATTTAATTATCACAACAGGCCTATAGTATGCATCCTTTATTATCCTAATGTTACAGATAAAGAAACCAAAAATGACAAAAAAAAAAAAGTCAGGTAACTAAATCCAGGTCCCATGCTGTTTCTGGTCCAGCCCGCATCCTACACCTAAGCAGGTTGACTGTAGAACCCACACTCACCTGTCGGACTTTGCCTAAGTGGGTCACATCTATAATTATAGGCCATAAAATCATGAGCTAGGAAGTCTTATTTATATTTTTTAATTTGTTTTGCACAATTATGAGCAAGTCAGATATACTAGTTAGTCAACAAGCTGTAGTTGTCCAGGGACAAAATGATGAGGGCCTTCGGCTGGGATGTGACAAGGACAGAGAATTGTTGAGGACAGATTTAAGAGCTGTTAAGGATATCACAACCAACTACTTAATGAGAGGGAGAAGGATGGATATTTTAGACGAGGAGGTTGGTGGTCTGGAATGGAAGAGAGAGGAATGGGTCGAAGACATATTTCAGACAAACCCGCATTCACTCGGGTTTTCAGTGGCGGAGGAACAAAGCACTTCTGCTGGAGTGGGCTTCCTCCAAGAGGTGGGCTTTGAACCTGTCCCCAAAGAAGAGGAATGTCCTGAGAAGTGGGGATAGGAAGGGAGGAGGAGCGGGAGGTGGGAGGTCGCTGTGACAACAGTACCACGGAGGAAGCCGAGGCGGCCCGTGTGGATGTGGACAGGAACGGGAATGTGATCGGGGAAAAGCAGCAGAGAACTGTCAAATGATTTTCGATGACTTTTTCTTCCTAAATCTAATAAAAAGTGAAAATCTTTATGAAATGTTTTAGGCTGATGTTCCAAGTTGCTACTCCATTCTTTACTCCTCCCTAGTATTCTGAAAACCAACTTAACAGGAAGGCGTGGTAAGTCTTCCTATCTTCCTATCTTTACTATCTTAACTTATGGTCCTGATAAAGACCTTGTTCCTGGATACCTGGGCCACCAGGAGACCTCCCTCATATGTGTGTTGTCAGTAGGAACATTCAAAGGGGGAGCGAAGAAAGGCGGTGAGAGGCTAGGTTTCAATTAAGAGCAAAGAATAAACAGGACGGCGTTTGTGTGTACAGGGAGGGTCTGGTGGGGCTGCCAGGTGAAAAAGCCAGTGGGAGTATTTGGGGAAAGAACAGGTATTTGGTGCCTTTTCTTCACGTGAGTCTCCTCTGGTTTTGAGGTTGGTGGCTATGTTCTTTGTTGGCAATATTGCAGTCCGGGAGTGGGATGGGGGCCATGATAGTAGCAACATTTACTTACTTCCTGTAAGGCTTTTTACAACACTTCTGTTGTCTGGTTTTCACTTCACGGGCAAGGTGTGGGAAAGCAGAGATGTCAGTCTAAAGATTTAGATTTAGAAGTAGGATACAGTTTCTCCTGAGCTTCATGAAGTTGCTGAAAGAGCTTAACAAGGTTGTTTGCTTTCCTGTTGTTAGAGTAATATAAAATCACCATAAAACATTTGGAAAATACGGAATGAAAAATGTAAGCACCCATAGCCTGACTATTACTGTTAACTGACAAATTTTTGCAAGTCTTATTTATATTTTTTTAATTTGTTTTGCACAATTATGATCAAGTGAGATATACAATTATTTATCTGGCTTTTCTGATCTAATGTTATAATGTAAGCATTTGTCCATTAAACTATGGACTTTAATTTCATGTGTCAGCCAAATCCCTTTACCGGATATTTTATGAGTAAATCAGGGACTGTAGCTGGAGGAGAGGCTGCAGCTGGGGTGGAAGGCAGTAGAGTCATTAGACCCAGGCAGCCAACATCTTGAGCTCTTTTAGGAGCAAATGAGTGCGGAGGGTGGGGTGAGGCCAGTGCTGGCTGGTCCTGAGGAAACCCACCCATTTACCCAGCTGGCCTGATTTTGAAAGCACCAGAACAATCCAAGAATGATTGGAAAATGAAAAAGCGCCCCGCCGGCCAGAGGTTTCTAGAAGTAACCTTAGTTAGCAGGAGGAAGCCTGGACCCTTCCTCCCAAGCTGTGGAATTAAGGCCGCTTGGGCTAGTTTACCTCCTAATATACAGAAGGGAGAACCTGAGTATACTGCCATTTCCCCATCAGGGGGTGATGGCCTCCCCAGTGACTCAAGCTAATTTCGTGACTCTCTCAGCTCTATTTATGGCTTCTACATAGTAAGTAATCATATGGTGGAAATTATAAGTAGCTCACTGGCTCCAGGTTTGGGATGTTTTTAGCATATAAATTCGGTTGTTAATTTGTTAGTTGTGGGGAAGATTTCCATGATCCAAGGATGAAAATAGGATCTGGGAAGGTGATTTTTGCCCAACTGTTTACTGCCCAGCTTGGGTATTATCTGCTCAGTATCTCTGAGACGTGAACAAATACCTCATTTACTTGCAGAGAAATGTGCTATTAGCTGGGGAAGAGAGAGGTTTTTTTTCCTTCCTCTGACTAAATTATTTGAGTGGCATAAAACCTAAATCACTCAATGTAACAACAAAACCGATTAACCAATCATTTATATTAAATGTGAGATTATTATAGTACTTTTCTCTCCATTTGGCATGTTCCCTCCTTAATCTGACCTAAGTTGTTTCAAGATTGTCTTCAGCATGGCACATGGAGAAAGCACACACTTCGGAAACAGGCCTGCTTGGGTTCGAAATCCTGACACACACAATTACTTGTATTTTCTCAGCAGTAAGATGGAAGCAACACCTGTCTCCTTGGGTAGCTTTAAGGAATACAGGAGATGAGGACTGACTTAGAGGGCTGGTCCTTGGTAAACAGTGGTCATCATTGCTTCCCACCACTGCTGCTGGGAAAGCCTCTATGTCTGATGGTCTCTGTGGCCCGGTCTGGCCTGGCATGAGGCCTTAAATGGTACCCTGTGACATGCACCCAGAGATTCACGAGGAAGATCAAACAGCCAGCTTTTCCAAGGGTTTATGGCTTGAAAGCTCATCTCCAGTGAGTGGCGAATCTTAGATTCACACTTCCTGGGCCATTTGCCCAAACCCAGGCTACAGACCATCTACGCCTGTAGAGTTGCGGGCAAAACAGCTTTCCCATCCTTTTTTTCAAGCTTTCCATCTGAGTGCATTTGCTTTTCCTGCCAACAGGAGAGAACCCTCAAGATTTTTAGCAAAGGTTTTGTGATCTCTTGAGAGGCAAGGTGCAATACAAATCACTCACGTGTACAAAAAGAGGAATTGTGCCAGAATTGCTTTTAGGAGAGAGAAACTCCAACAGTTATCTTGTGAACTTAATTTCCTACACTAGCAATTTTCCCATTAACCTTAAACATGGTCCCTTTGCCCGTGGCCTCTACTCAGAACGCTACTGACCCACCCAGATATGGTATGTGGTGGGACAGCCCTGGCCACATTCCCAGGCTCCTGCCCCTCCAAGTTGTCTGTCTCCTCCCCTGAGGTGTGTTTTTCATCTATACTGATTTCTACCTTCTCTTTCTGACTTGCGGCAGCTTGTCCTGAGCCCTGGCTTTCAGAAAGGCTCCATCATTCTCCCAGAGCTTTAGTCTAGGACAGGCCAGGGAGCGCGTCCATGGCACAGTGTCGCGCTGGGCCTCGTGAAGGTGGGCTTTGCCCTGGCCAGCCCTGCTCGGGCCAGGACGCATGTCCTCTGTCCCATATCTCCTGCTGTTTATGTTTAAGTATAAGGGAAGGCTTCAGCCCTGAGCTCTGTGGATCCAGGCTCCCATCAATTTCTCAACAAGTGGCAGGAAAGGGGGCTCTTTTGTGCCCTTATACATCTTATTTCTTAACCCATGAAATGAGTCATTTCCATGGTGAACAGGCAGCGTCTAAGAACCTGGTTTCAAAGTGACTCTTGGTACATTTAACAGAGAAATGCTTCTCAGAGTGTCAAGTCTGATTTGTGCCTTAAAGGATCTTTGTTTTGAAGTAGTGCTTAGTGCAGGGTCAGAAGACTTTATCTGCTGGGATCAGGAATGCAGATGGTGCCTGACCCTAAGGATAGGTCACTTAATGAGCAAGCAGCCCCCACTGGGCTGAGGTCAGAGGTATTCTGTCCAGCCAGCAGGATTGGACTCCAGCAGCCAGCTGGCCCTTTAGGATGTTGAATAACAATCCTTTAGAGTTACTTCCTGGGGCCCTTCATCTTCTTGTCCTGGTATCAGGGCTGGGGGCAAAGGGGGGCGGGGTGAGCAACTGCACATTCGAATTTTCACAGTGCATTGCAACTGTGAGTACGTGCTGCGGTCGGCCACAGTGTGCCCTGTTTCTCTTTCCAGCATCCCAGTGTAACGTCAGCTTAAAGAAGCAGAGGAGTCGCAGCATCCTCAGCTCCTTCTTCTGCTGCTTCCGTGACTACAATGTGGAGGCGCCACCAACCAGCAACCCCAGTTTGCTTCCGCCACTGGTGGAGGAGAATGGTGGGCTTCAGAAGGTCAGTCTGGATGGGGAACTGTGAACTCAGCAGAACTGCAGTAGCTGCATATCTGTCCCATTCTTGACAAATGTCCTTAATAAGAGCCTATGACAGTATGGGTGCAGCCATTTACTTCAAGATCCGAAATTACCGGAAAAGTCATCTTTTTTGTTAAAGGAGATCTCAGTCATTCGCATGTAGCAACTAAAGAACATATTTGATGAGAGTTATAAGAGTCACATGTTTATAACATAAGGTGTTATAGAATTTAACATCTTGAGAAGTCGAATACATAACCAGAGAGTTAAAGAACCATTAGCAAAGAAATGGAAAGACAAAAGGAGAAACAGACATGGAAAAGAGCCAATAATAAATTTAAATGGCTTTAACTACCTTGTTTAATAACAAACATGTTTGTTTCCTATACTTTTACACATATCAAACAAAAATTTTTAAACAGATTGTAACAATAGGTGAAAAAAAATTCTACCCATGTACCGTCTATATACATATTCTAAATAAACTCAAAACGTAAAAGGATAAATAAAAAGACATCCACAAGTATAAGCAAAAAGAAAGCAGGGGTTGCAGTGTTAATTCGGTCTAAATAAATGTTAGGTAAAAATCACCAAGAGAGGCAAAGGGGATTTTTTATTTTGAAAATTCTCAAGATCGAAGACACAAAAGTCGCAAATCTTTATGTCCCAATAACACGAGCAAAGGACGTGAACAGGCATTTCACAAAATAGGAAATACCGTTGGTCAGTAAACATGAAAAATTGTTCAATATGGTTAGTAATCAAAGAAATGCGGACTAAAACAATGAGATATCCTTTTCTATTATCAAATTATCAAATGTATTTTTAAAGATAAGATTTGGGTTTGGCATGGGGATAGTGAGAGGAGGGTAGAGGATATAAATTGATTATCAGTAGGAGTGTTAATTGGTTACACCTTTCTGGAGGGAAATTTTGCGATATGATCTTAAAATCTTAACATTATGCCCATTTGTTCACCCAGGCAGTTCCACTTTATTGACATAACTATGGATGTACAAAGATTTAACTGTAAGATACAATCCAACATAGATTACGATATTGCAAAATTATAAACCTGATAATCAACAATTCTCTTTTATAGACGATAAAAGATCTATAGAATAACCATGTAATTAATGCGGCTATTAAAAATGACATCTCATAAATATTAGTGATGCAGGGAAATTTTTACAATATATCACTTAAGGGGGAAAGGCTAAAATATAGTAGGTGAGTATATGTATAAGTATGTATACAGTCATATACACACAGAGGCATTTATAAGACTGGAATGATGTATGCCAAACTATGACGAAATTATCTCGGACTAGTGGGATTACATATAGGATTTTCTCCTCTCCTTTATGTTTTATTTCTTTTTTTTTTCTTTTAGACTTTCCCATTTTCACAGAATTAGCGCAAATACTTTTGCAATTAGAAAATAAATTAATTTAAAAGTACACATGAATGTAAAGAAGGGGATCCTAGGATGTCGGCAGCCTGAGCACGTGGCTCTAACCATTTAAAATCCCTCTCTTGGATAAACCCTGGTGAGCCTGCTGGTGGAGCCTGGGAAGTGCGTTAAGGCTGCCGATTTTCGTGACGTCTCTGGGGAAAGAGCATGCACTGGTACTCATTGAGAAGCAGGGAACCACCAACAGTGGAAAATGTCTCTTGTCAAGTCCTAGGACAAAGACTTAAAATATATAGTCCTGGGAGGTCAACCAGCCAGCAGAGTCTGTGGGCCCACTTGATATGTGTAGTCCTTGGAGGCCCTGTACTGATGAGCTGAATTGCTTTCAGTTCTTGTGCCCCGGTGGAGCCCAGGAGTACAGAGATTTTCTTCATCTCTTTGTGGTTTGTCAATTTGGACTCCGCTGAACCATGAAAACAGCACTCGGTGCTGGACTTTTCCCTCATCTGCCACTGCCAAGAAAGTCCAAGTTGAAAAACTAGAATATATGAGACTCATACTGAGGTAACACTAATGGAAGAAATAGAAGAGAACTCTGACAATTCACGAAATGATATTTCAGGAAATGAATTTTGAGTACAGAAGTAACTTTTAGAACTTAAAAAAAAAAGTCCATGATTTCTAAATATAAAAATTCAGTAAACAAACTGAGGGAAAGGAGAACGAGAATGGTTACTGCTAAGAACTGAATTAACGTTCTGAAAGAACAAATGAAAGAAATGTCTTACGGTTCAGACCAGAAACACAGAGATGGTAATTGGCCAGGGCGGGGCGGGGGACACCTAGGAGATCTAACATGCACATAATAGGAGTTCCAGAAAGAGAAAACGTGATAGAAGAAATTTTTCTTGAGCTGAAAGAAAGCTTCAATGTGTAGATCGAAAGGGTTTCCCAAGTCTATAGCAGGATTAGGGAGGGCAAGCAGGGGATCACAGGCCTAGATATATGCTGTTGACATTCTGAAATTAGGTAGAAAGAGAAAATCCTACAAGCTACCAGAACAAGTTATTTTCAAAGAAAAGAGAATTATACTAGTACCAGACTTCTTAGCAGCAACACTGAAAGCCAGAAGACTATGGAAAAATGTTTATAGGCTATTGAGAGAAAAAAATTACAAACCAGAAATTCTTTGTGACCAATATATCATTTATCAATTAGGGAAAAAGAAGTACATTTTCAGACATATAATGATTCAGAGAGGGGGCAAAAAAAAAAAAAATCTGGTTAAGGTCGATATTCAGTTACAATATAATTATAGAAAATGTAGAATAAACATGACTGTTAGGAATAGAACTATAACAAGTAGCACAATTAGAAAATAGATTCTCAAAATTCACAGAGAGTGAAAGGGGAAGTAAACAAATGTGAACAAGCCATCAAAATTAAGGAAAGCGAAAAAAAACAAATTACTTAATAAGTAGTAAACCTAACATAAAAGTAGACATAAAACCAAATTTAATGAACCAAATTCTCCTAACAAAAGACCAAAACTATATCAGATTGGCTTGAAATATTCAGCCATATGTGTTGCCAAGAACATACCTGTATCAGATAGGAATGATTTTGGCAGTAGGTAAAAAAAGCTGACAAATAATAGCTTAAACACAGGGGATTATTTTTGTCAGATAAAAAGCCTGAATTTGGCCATAGCTGGGGTTAGTTTAGATGCCTGATGATACCATCAGGGACCCAGTCTCTTTTTGTTCTTTCTTTCATCTTTCTGCTCTACTATCCTTAACATGTTTGTCTTCATCCTCATGCTTAGTGTTTATTATCTCAAAGTCAGAAGCTTCAGATAGCATATCCACATTGAAGGGGAAAAGATAAGGAAGAGTAACAATAGCCATGTCTGTCCCTTTTATGGAAAATAACCCCTTTTACAGAAAACTCCAAGAGACTTCTGCTTGTGTCTTATTGGCCAGAACTTTGTCACATGGCTACTCTCCCGCAGCAAGGGAGACACAAAACGGAAAGCATTTAGACCAGCAAATTCCCGCCCTCAACAAAATCGGAGCTCTTTTCACAAAGTAGAAAATAGGAAGGACTGCTGAGTAGCTGTACCAGTCAGTGTGGGTTCAGTTATGCTGCAGTAACATCCCTCAAACTTCAGAGGCTTAGAACAATAAAAGCTTAGTTTTCACTCATGCTGCATGCAAGTTTATCATGCATTGCCTGTGCCTTCTGCTCTGTGGCACAGTTCAGTAGAAATACAATGTGAGCCACTTATGTAATTTAAATTTTTTTCTAGTAGCCTCATTTAAAAATGTTTTTAAGATAAATTAGTTTTAATAATATATTTTATTTAACCCAATATACCCAAAATATTATTTCAACATGTTAACCAACAGAAAAAAATTATCAATGGGATACAATTTATTCTTTTTATCTCGCTAATTCTTCAAAATCTGATGTGTATTTTACATTGATAGCACATCGTAATTTGGACTAACTGCATTTCACATGCTCGATAGCCACATGTGACTAATAGCTATTGTTATTGGATCGTATAATTCTATCTTATCCTCATTCATGGACCTAGACTGAAGAAGGCCCCATCTCTGCTTCCATGATTGTCCCAGCAGGCAAAAAGGGAATGTGGTAATCATGCAGGTTCTTAAAGTTTTCACTCAGAAGTAACATGTCTCGTTTCAACTTACATCTTATTGGCCAGAGCAGTTCACATGATTGAGCCTAACTTAAGAGGCATGGATGTGTAATCCTGCCATGTGCCCAGAAAGAAAACTAGAATGAGCTGTGCTAATGACTGTTACAGCAGGTGGCTAATAGTTTCTGACCCGGCATTAACATGCAGTGATTTTTAAAGGTGGAAAATAGATGAGCAAAATGTACTAAGTAGGTCAAATAAAAAGTAAAAGTGGAATATTAATATCAGACAAAACAGGGCCAAAAGCATTAAACAGGAGAAAGAGGAACATTTTATAATGCTAAAAGTTCTAATGTGTGAAGTATATAATAGCCATAAACCTTTAAATACCAATCAGTAGTACAGCCAAACATATAGAAGAAAACCATTTCAATGGTTAAAAAAGCTATTTTCTCAAACAGCAAACAACGTAGAAAAATCACTGGCAGTTTCTGGCTAATGTAATAAGATAAGAAAATGAAACAATTGTCATAAATATGGAAACGATACAAAAACTAGTTTTATCTGCAGGTAACATGATTATTTACATAGAAAACCAAAATTAACTACAAAAAAAATTTTTAAATTATTTAAAGGTTTTGATACGGTGGTTCTTATTTATAGACAAATGTGCTGTGTTTCTGGCTAGGAAGACTTGAAATTTATACACAAGAAAAAATGTCTAAGAATAGCTGAGAAATTTCTGGAAAAAAAAATAGCAAAAGATGACTTGCCTTAACAGATATTAAACCTTACTTTCCACTGGCGTAGAAAAATATTTCGGTGGAATTCGTATGAGGAGATGCCACTGAAAACCCTAACGCAGCCCCAGACTGTGACGTCTCCCCTCCATGCCCTCTCCTCATACTCTCCCTCCCCCAATTTTAAAAATCTTTGCTGTAGAAAATTGCTGTTAGTGAAGGGAACATAGTCCGTACCCTAGACCTGTAGAGAATTTAAAAAGTGGAAAATCACTATGGTCACAGTAAAAGTTTTTTTTTAAATAGCATCTGCCTAGATGAAATGACATAAGAAAAAGGTATTGCACCCCAGGAAGGTGTCCTGTTGTGTTTAGCTGTGTGTATTAGAGAATAAAGTTCATTAAAGGCAGTTCCTCTGGCAGAGCTGAGCTCACCTGGATTTGCTGTTCATTCATGGACCTCCTTCAGTTAACATTTATCAGAATGGCTTTTTAAAGAAGGAGGGTCAGTCGCTCTGAGTAATTCCTCATCTGTATAACACTTGACAGTTCAGTCTGTGAAACCCCATAGAAAGAGCCTGTGTCAAAGAGGAGCAGCCGATTCCCAGAGCAGGACCCTCTGCCCTTTGCTCTCGGCTTGGCCGGGTCCCCTGGAGCGCAAAGCCCAGACCTGTTTGCTGTGGAAGCACATTCCAGCCTGTCTCTACTGCTGCTGCCTCGGCTCTCCCTGCCTCTGGGGCCTCAGCATGCGAAGAAAAGGGAAGGCTGTGAACTGAGGCAGCAGATGGCCTCTAGGTTTCCATCTGCCCTGCATATTTACTTTGCCCTGGAGAAAAGCTTCCATGGAGGTGGCCTGGAATGGCCGCCATTGCCACCATCGCAGTGGCACCCTGGACCTTCAGGCCACTTGCCCACATAAAAGTGCCTGTAGCCCCCGGCCAGAGGCTAGGAAGAGTCAGCTCCTAGGAGACACCAATAGCAGAGACCGGGGAGAACTTTGAAGGGTGATGACAATGTAAATGAGACTGCTGGACACTCACTAATACATGCGTACCCCATGTGCACACACACACACATGCATGTAAACCTCTAGGGTAATTTTGTAGCACAAACATCTAGAGTAGCATCCTTGGTCATAGTCTATGCTTTATCAAGCCCTTCAGATGTTCGTTATTATTATTTCTCACGTCACTGACGTGCTCATCTCACATGAAGGTACACCTGTTCGCAGTCTCCCACTGGCTCAGTGTCCTCAACTGGAGACGATTTTGCCCCCTAGGGAACATCTGACAATGTCTGGAGACATTTGTGATTGTCACTACTGGGGGATTCTACAGGCATCTAGTGGGTAGAGGCCACGGATGCTCTTAAGCATCCCACAATGTCCAAGACAGGCCCCCAGGACAAAGAGATATTGAGCCTGGAATCCTTAGAATCCTTAAGAGAAGCCCCAAGTGTCCTGGAAAAGGGAAAAGCCATCAAGATTATCTCAAGAGGAACAGTTGCTGTTCCACCACAGAGGTAATGACTGGGGGCTGGAGACAATCAAGTTGCTAAATGGTTCTTAGAGTCAGAGCTCAGAAAGGAGCCAGCCACCTGCCCTGTCCACAGTAGGCTTGGCCCCTTTCTGTGAGGCTCCTGTCACCAGTGACCCCCTCAATAAAGATGGATACACTTTTCACAGATCGTTCAGTGTGGGAGAGCGTGAAACGGTGCATCTCCTCCTCAGAAACCATAATATTATTCATCGCCTCCCATCCCCCCACCTAAAAAAGCAGCAGCAGCACATAAATGGGAAATGCTCAATGAAGATAAATTTGTTCTTTTATTAGCATTTCTTAATGATGCTAAAATGAAGTGTTTCCATCAAGCAGGTTTGGCATGGCGGGAATTCCAGGCTGCGGAATGGTTGAGGCCCTTCCTTGGGGCCTGAGTTTTCTTCACATTTCCTGTGAATACAGGTTTTACTCCCCTTAAAGAGAAAGCTGTTCCCGTGTCTGTGGCCTCAGGACACTTCCTGTACCTTGCCTTGTCCGCTCTGCCCAGTCTTCCCCTAGAAAAGGACCAAGAGTGACCAGCGGGATCCTGGTGATCTGATGAACTTGGCTTCCTTTCCCTGCCTATTATATAGACTTCAGGCTTAAGTCTTTTTAGGGAAAAACTTACTTAAAAGAAGAAACAAGCCAATTATTAGAGGGATTCATGGATCAAAGTAAAGTATGGGTTTTCGTTTTTGTTTTTCAATGAAGGATTAAATTCCTGAGAGGAAGGGAGGCATTGTTCAAATAAACAAGATGATTAATGAGCCTGAGGAACCCAGCCCGGTTTGTCAGGGGAGGGAGTATCTGGGAGGCAGAGTGGGGTCCAGGGCCCTAAGTGTGGAAGGTGTTTGGGTTCCTCCTGTTCATTAAATACCACCAAGGTACAGAGGATAGAGAAATCATATGCCTGCTGTACTCAAGAGTGCTTTCAAGTTTCTTTTCGGTATATAATCTACTTTTCTTCAAATCTGACAATGATTTTTTTTTTTTTCTTTTTCCTCAGGGTGACCAGAGGCAGGTCATTCCCATACCAAGTGTATGTATATATTTATCCGATTTTATTTGAACATTCATAAAATCTTGTAGCTTTGAGCCTACTAATGTGAAAGATTTTATGTTCTTGTTTATGTTGAGTTTTATCATGCGGTATAAACAGCTCTGCTCTGTCGAAAAGAAAAATGAAGCTGCATTTTAAACGCTGAGCAGGAAGTTCTGTAGAGTTGCCTTCTTCAGGAACAGCAGGATCACCAGCAAATCCTCACTTTCCTTCTCTCCATGAAGGGTCTGAATAAGCTGAGACAGCGTGCCGCCCTCCCCCACCCCAGCACCCTAGTGCCACCCAGCTCCGCAGACGGGGGACATACTTTTGCCCAGACATTAGTCTTTGTAGCAGGTTCTGTCCCGGTGGAACTGGGCTCACCAGGCCCATGTCCCCAGCGAGCAGACCATTTCTGACTTATTCAGCAACATCGCAGCTTGGCCATAGTTCTGACATCAGAAAATCGCCCCAGTTGAATTCCCTGATCTTGCAGGATCCGCCCGCACGCCCACAGGCTGGCCGTGCTGTAACTCTGCTCCAGCTGGGCATCCTGCAGGGCCCCGACTTCTGTCTTCAGCCCTGGAATTCGGGAGGATAGCTGTACCAGTGTTCACCCCTAGCACAGGCCTGGACCGGCCACCCCTCACCCATCCCACGTCCCTACTGCTCCTTCTCTTCCTCCTGCTTTGCCAGTGGAGCCATTTGGAGCAGGAAACCAATGACTGACTCCAAAAAGAAACTTGCTGTTGGGTGTCCATATCAAACAAGACCTTTCAGGCAGTCCTGTGATCTTAGAGAAGGATATAGATTTTAATAGAAGATGTCCATAAATGGATATTTTAATCCATACAGATTCTTTTAGATTGTCTGATTCAAATCTGTTCTCTATTTTTTCCTTGGACTTTTTTCACATATTTTCTGGAAACATCCAAGAGACATAGCAATCCTACATTGAAAGGAATGGATTCATTAGTACAGGTTGACTCTAAATTTGGTAGTGCGTATCACTTACAAATTGCCCCAAAAGTATTTATTTGATACTTTTATTTTTCTCAAAATTTTAACTTTCCATTGATTAACAGGGTATAAGAGTTTGTAGGGTGATTCTGACTTTACCAGCATGACTGGGATGCTCTTAGGCATCCTGTAACATCCAAGATGCCCTCCATGGCAAAGAGTTATCAAACCCAGAATGCCAGTAGTGCTGGGGGTGAGAAACCCGAGTTCTTAGGGGGTTGGGCTTTGTTGGGGAAACTGATCAAAAAGATTGATCAAGCAGCATGTCTTCTTATCCAGTGTTTGAGTAGGATTAAGATCTGTTCGTGTATTTTTCCTTGGACTTTTTCTCATATTATCAATCCCCAGTGGAATTGATAACCAGAGGTCTCCATTTAGCCTTTATACAAAATTGTTTCATATACTGTATTTTTCCAGCAAAGGTACCTATATTAAACAGGTGACAGGTGGCATCTCTCCCTCTGCCTCTGATATTCTAAGAGCACTGTTTTTTCTCAAAGTTAATTCACTGCTGCTGTCTTTAAAGTTAAATGCTGAATCAAGCATTTGTTAGGGTAAACATTCTGCTGAGGAAAATGAGCATTTTCCCACAAATCTAGACTCATTCTAGAATCCTGGAATAAAATATCCAAGGAGAAAAAGACTCCTTGTATAATTTAGCCCATCGCTAGATCAAGAAACTGCTGACTGCCTCCTACGTGTAAGACACTGGGTCAGGCCTTAAGAATCTGTGAAATACCTTGCAGAAAAACAAAGCCTCGCTGAAGTAACTTGCATCTTTTGATGATAAACTCCAGAAAAGCAGTTCTGCTGATGGGCATGTGCCTGCTTTGCACACAGGACTAAACCTAAGTCCATCTGAAAAGCAGCTCAGCCCTGGGATTTGAGCCTTGGGATCCCCTGCAAAATCTGCACCTCACTGTCAAGGCTGCCTGTCACATAAACACAGTAACACTGTCCTTTCTGGACCACAGGGGTACCTGTCAGTGCTTGGAGCCCTTAAGAGCTTGGTGTGCCACACCACAGGACCAGAAATACAGGCTTGCGCTGAGCCTACAAACCAGGTTCCACAGCCTCCTGAAAGCTTTTTCTAGGCCCTGAACTTGAAAGGGAAAGGTTCCCTTGAGCCTGTGGGCATACAGAGTAATTCCAGCTGGAGTCCCCCAGCTCTGCTTCTCACCTCACCCCTCTTTCTTCATTCTCCTGCTGTTCTGTTTATATGTGCAGGTTTGGTCTTTTGATTTTTTACTAAGCAATAATTTAAGCTCATGGTTTAAAAGGAATACTGAAAAATCCAAATAGAAAAATTCTTAACTTTGTCCCAACTTCCTAGACTAACCACTTTTAATATTTGTTATACATCCTTCTAGAAATTTTCTAAACAAACAGAAGCCTATTTACACAAATGAGGGTTTTGCAAAATTAATTTTGCTTTTAATAAGATGCCTTGAACATCTTTTTAATATTAGTACATAGCATCTACCTCATTGTTTTGCCTATAGTTGACAGTATTTACTTTGTTTCTCCTTCTGTGCTATTACTGATACTTCTCAGGAATATTTTTGTGCAGGTGTGTTAATGGACTTGAGTGATAGTGTCTGTGCGATCATTTCCTAATTGTGGAAATGCTAGATCAAAAGGTATATTTTACATTTTTGGTAGATTAAAACCAAATTGTTCTCCAAGAGCCTAATTTACATTCCCATCAAGAGTGTATGGCATTGTCCATTCCCTTATCAGCTTTTTTAATCTTTGCTAATCTGAAAGTAAAGAATGACATCGATTTATTGCTTTGACTGGTATTTCTTTATAAATGAGTAAGAACATCTTTTCACAGATTTATTGCCCGTATGTCTTTCTTCTTCCCTATTCATTTTTTCTGCATTTTATACTGTGTTATCTTTTTAAATTTCAAGGAAATTACGTCTTCCCCCCAAATTTATATCTTCTGGCCTTGTTTATAATCATTTTTGGCCACAGAAGTTTAATTTCATATAGGCGAATGTATTAATCTCCTCCTTTATGGCTCCTGAGTTTTATGTCATGCTTAGAAAGATCTCCCCACTCTGTGACTGACCCATATTTTCTCCTAGCACTTTAATGGTTTTATCATTAGAGTTAAGTCTTTGATCCGTCTGGAATTTATGTTAGAGTAAGGTATGAAGTCGTGATCCAGCTTTATTTCCTTTTCCAAGTGGCAAGTCAGTTGTCACAACACCATTTACTGAGTAATCCATCTTTTGCACACCTGTTGGAAATGACATCTTTATCTGGACTCGATGTTAAATGTTCCACTTAGTAATATTTGTCTCCAAACTGTGAGCTGGGGCCGTCCACCAATCTTACTGGAAGCCTCATGGGCTATCTGGTAAAAGCCAGGTACTGAAGGGTAAGGAAACCCTGCAGAGGAACAGGTGGAGGAGCCCCTGACGTTTGGGTGGTCATGGCTGACAGTGAGCACTCAAATGCTTTGGCCCCAGTAAGGACCGCCACTGGGGCTGTGACCCGACTCCTCTCATAGCTACACTCTCACTTGAATCACACAGCATACCAATGCTCACAACACGAGGGCGTTATGTAGCTGAGCCATGAAAATGCTGAGAGGGATGGGGGATTTGTTTTGACAGTTGTTTCTGTGCTATTTCCCTAAACCCTGTAATAAGCAGTAGCATACTTTTATCCAACAAACTTATGAAGAACATATAAGCAGAACAGCGATTCTAGTTAAAGATGATCTAGAGTTTCCTTTGCCCACCTCCTGCTGTAAGCCCTGAGCTCTCTACCCTGAACTCAGACTTGGGGAGTACAGTGTGCAGACTCAGCCTGAGAACTCTTAAGTACAAAAGAAAAAAAGAAAAAGAAATCTGAGGTACCAAGAAGAGGTACTACATCTGTAAGATTTGCGAGGGTGTGTTGGGCAAGTAAAGAAATGAACTATAGAGTGAACTATATTTATGGCTACCGGTTTACTACTGAGGACAGGAAATTTCAGATCTACTCCCAGGAAAAGAACTTGAATGAATGCCCTTCCTAAACCTTAGAGAGCAAGCCATGTCCTGTCCTCCTCCCTGCTCATCCCACGTGGTTTCTGCCCGGGATTTCCGCCTCCTCCATCCTGCTGGCCATGTGCTCTGGAGCAAGTGATTTTGCACAGAAAGGCTTTATATTAGGCGTGTTTCTCTTGTTCTTCAGCTTAACGATAGCCTGGGAGAAAATTTACCTCAAGACAATTTTAGTTAATGATTCAAGCATCACCTGAACAGATCCATTGAAGTAACAAAGAACTATTGCAATTATATAGCGTCCTTGCATGTTCCAAGGACATGGCTGTCCAGAAGAATTCTTACTGACAGCCTAAACAATTTGCATTAATCTAAAGCCAAACTCTCAGAGAAACTATGCACATTTAAGAAACAGGTTTAGGATTAATAGAACCCTCCTAGCCCATTGCCCCCTGCCTGGCCTTGTTCTCTGCAGCTCAAATGTTAAGTCAATAGTTTGTTTAACACCCTTCTCATTATTTTCTCTCAGAATGGTAGTGAGGCTTTTTACTTACTGTTAACTCACAGAATGCCTGTAAAATGTGAGTTAAATATGCTAAGAAAGTAATTTTTATTCTTGGGTTTAGAAAATAACTGAGCCACTTTTGGCAGGTCTTTGATGTTTTCAGATATGCTAGCGGTAGAATTTCTAGATCCTTATTCTCCAAGCTAGCAATTACATAAAGTTAAAATGTTATTTTAGTGTATAAACACATAGAGAAAGGACTGGACAGACACACACCAAACTAAAAAGGGAGCAATCTGGGCAAAGGAATGAGGTGGGGGTGGGGGCATGGAAAAGAGACATGTCTATATTCTTTACAGTGAGAATGTGTTTTTATTACATAATTATATAATAAAAAGTTAAGTTTTATTCTAATCACAGCAAGCTTGCTTCTATGGTCTAAACAACAGAAATAACCCAGAAACTCCCTATTAAGTTCATCGATAGAACTCATCATACCCTGCCTTTTTAATAAAAAAACTTCTTACAAGTTTAATTTTTTTTAATAACCTGCTAGCTTGCTGGCTTGTAATGAAGGACACAGTTCTTCCTAGGGCCTCAGATCGCATGCCCTGTGTATGAGGCACATCTCCTCCCAGTGCTGCAGGGTTAAAAAGACTGCTGGCTGAGCTTTAATTAGAGCCAAGGGAGTTGGAAGGCCATAAAGGCTTTTTCTTCTGGATAATGTTGGAGACGGTGAAATAGCCATGCTCAGTTGAGAGACCCCCTCTAGAATTAGAAATGCTTTTGTCCCCACCCGTAGCCTCATCCTGGATAGTCCCTGCCTGCTAGGATGGTCATTGCTCTTGCAAATTTACGTAACCTGCTGACCGCCTCCTATTTATTATTGAATCAGCTAAAGTCCAAAATTAACTCTAGATCCTTGACAAATATTCAGTTTAAACAAACAAACAAAAAAAAAATAGGAAATAGCCATTTAAAAGGAATTGCTTCTTGATTTCATTTTTTCTTGTTTTATTTGATAAGCTAAATTATCCATTCTTCAGTGTCTGTGGACAGATCGTTGCTTGTGTTTTGTTTTGCAGTAAATATTGAACAGAGCTTGACCTTCTTCCAGGGCAGAAAATTAGCTAGTTAACATTGGGCACCAAACATGCCACCAACTAAACTAAAATACTTTAAATCATTTCTAGAATGAGGCAAAGCCCAAAGAAATAAATACTCTAAATCAAGAATGAGGTCGTCTGGAGATATCTAGCATTAGATATCTATTAACTCTTTATAACCTCTTTATCACAAGATTAGCGTCAGCTGCTACAAAGATATATAAATAAATTTTCTGGTTAACACACAGCATGTGGATTAACGTATAACTTCCAGAGACAGAGATGGGTGAAATGCCACATTTGCTCAATATTTTCCCACAGTGGGACAGGCACAAGGCAGGGCACTCGACCTAGACCAGTTTTATTTCTATGTCATATTGGAGGTCACTTTGGATTGCATTTGCTGGCCGATCTATAGTTTCTCTTCAAGTTTTTGAATACTGCAGTCAATTAAAAAAAAAACCCTGTGGTTTCAATATAGCTCTGAAATATATTTATGAACCACAGTGAATTTCAGACAAAATATGACCCAGGAAATGGGCCTGCATAGTTAGAGTAGCTGTTATAATTAAACATTCATTTTTGTGTAGTCCATTTTAATAATAACAGTAGCCACCATATGTGTCAGGCAGAATGTAGAGCATTTTACTGCAGTTATAGCTGATAACCTTTTAAGGTAGGTATTAATTATCCCAACTTACAGCCGAGAAAGAGAAAGAGCTGATACTCAAACCCAGGTTTGTCTGGTTCTAAAGCTTAGGTCCTCATAATAGCCATTCAGACAATGGACAGTATATGGTAAAACTTCCATTGCAATCTACTTATTTCTATTAATTTTAATAAAATTCCGGGATGTGCTTGACCAGCCATTTAAATGTTTGACTTCCTTTTTAACATCATTGACACGATATAATAAAATAATAAGGGGATTGTTTTGTTTTTTACATCAAGGTAATAATAATGATTTTTTTTCTCTAGCCACCAGCTAAATACCTCCTTCCAGAGGTGACGGTGCTTGACTATGGAAAGAAATGTGTGGTCATTGATTTAGATGAAACCTTGGTGCACAGTTCATTTAAGGTAAATCAACATAAAAAAGCAATCAGTGATGTCTATGATTTGGTCACGATCATATTGAGAAAGGATGAAAGCTTGCAGTTGTTAATACACGGCTTCATCATTCATGAAGAAATCCCAATAACCGTTGCATATTAACTCAGGTGAACATTAACTCAAGTAGTTGAATATTAACCAATAGTTTTGGAGGGGGAAGCGCTGGGCAGCCAGTATCACTGAAACCTCATTTTTTTCTTATGAGATGTGAGCTTTCTAACACTCTCACCCACCACAGAAATACCTTTCAGGCGGCACAGAGAAGTCAGTACACCGATGCCCCAGGACACTAGCGAGTGAGTGTCAAGGTAACCAGAGTGCCATATGTTTTATTGGGAGGGGCAGGGGAGGCCCTGTCAAAGCAACCTGCTATCCTGGAAGTTTTCCCAGACCAGTTTTTGAAAGATGCCCAACACTGAAGACCTCCAGAGTTAGGGCATTTTAACAGATTCAGCCATTTATTATGATTGACCATTTTCATGGCAAGAGGTTTCTGGGGATTTTAGAAGCTTTATAGCCAAATGGGTCTCTACCTGTGTGACTTCCCTCCTGAAGTGTACGGGGCTGCAGCGATGTCGGAGTGAGCATCAGACAGTCTTACTCCCGTCACCTTCCTCACTCTCCCGCTCCCACCAGAATGACAGCAAAAGGTACAAATTACCGAAGGGACTCTGTGTGGCAACAGCCATGGCTGCATTATTAAGACATGAGTTAATTAACCATGTTTCCATTTTTTGAAATGGAACAAATTGATTGAAGGAGGCAAATATGAAAAAGTTTGGAAATAGGGGACCGGTGTGCTAGACAGCAGAAGCAGGTCCTCATCCCGTTTGCCTTGGGACAGTTCTGGCTATGGAATCGCTCTGTTACCACGGGCCAGTTAGGCCACGTCCCTCTTTACACCCCCAGCCAGGCTCTCCTTACTTCACTGAGAGGCTTGAAAGGCACCATCCATGATGGGGTGTCTCACGTGAACCGTAGTCATTCTTGATGGTTGCGTGGGAAGTGGAAGAGCCATCAAATTTGCCTGAAGACCTTCATGCCAGAGACATCCTTCCTTGTGCCTACTTCTCACTACACAGAGGCCCTCCTCGAGAAGACAAGGCCAGGTGGTTGTCTTCGAGTCCTTTGGGAGAGTGGAGGAGGGGCCACATTTACCTGTCTGGCCACTGGGGCACATAGGTACCACCTCATTCCTCAATACTGAGGGCCCTTCCAGGATCGGGCCAGGGCCTTGTGCCCCAGCTCAGATCTGGGCAGCGTTGGAAGCCTTTCTTCCCCCAACAGCAAATTGCTCAGGATTTTTCCTGGTTCCTCGGGAGGGAAGCCCTGTAGAGCAGGGGTCAGTTGCCATCACAGCATAGACAGCACCCTCCAAGCAGCTCCAGGAGTATGGGCAATGCTGGCTAGACCACACAGGGTTACGGAGGGTTCCTGATTCCACAGGCCAGGCCTTGGCACTTCAAGGCCTGCTCACAGGGCACTGATGGGACCAGCTGATGTGAACAGCATCTTGTCATTTCTTCTCTTCCTGACTTGCCTACATATGCAAGCAGAATATACTTTATTGTCTGGCTTTTAATATTCTGGGCACTTCAAAGCCCTTCAAGAATCTAAAAGGTATGACCCTTTCTCCTTGAAAATATACAGCGGTACAGCATACAGGCTCATGGGCCCTGGTTAAGAACCCTGGCTTTGACATGCAAGGCATCCCTCAACCAACACACGACAGGAGACCAAGGATGAGTGCTTGCTCTGGGCTGAGGAATGGTTTTTCCCTTCTCATAAACTATGGAATATGATTTCACAATTTAATGCCTTGTGAGTTTTCTTCCTTCGGTCTTGCCTTTTTGTTTCTTAGCATGATTATGTATTTTAATTTTGAAGTTATAAAATACCGAAATCCTTTGCCTTCCAACCATAGAAATGAATAAACTGTTATCCTAAGCTTCAGGGGTTCTACTGAGTGCTTTAATGGTTCTACAGTCTAGTATTTTTCACATTTTTCAGTTTCCGTATCAAAGAAGAATGTGTGTTTACAATGATTCTGTACCTAGCACCCCTGCCGAGTGGCCAGCATACACACTCTCCTTCCCTCCATCTCTCTCCTACTTGTCCCAAGGGTCTGCAGCCTGGTGATTCCCCTGGGTCTGTTCATTTGAATAGTTTGTAGAGTTCCGTTTAGAACTATATGTCAGTCCATCACTGAGAAAATTCAACAATCATACTTGAATTTTAAATGCCATTAGTATTGTCAGCATTATTTTAAATATCCAGCAGCTTGTGAGTGGCTGGGTATTATGTTTCTTAGAGCAGTCTGGAGTGGCCTAAAGTCACTGATGCTCAGGACTGGATGGAGCCATGGACACTCATGAGACCCATTACCGTAGCTGCAGAAAAGAGAAGAAACCAAGATGGGAAGAACCTGCCCGAGGTTATGGGTCTGTGGCCCCCGACTTCACCTGACAAGTCCTTGGCCCTGCTTTGTGTCCATGTGCTGAGCATCTCCTGCTAAGCAGCCCATCACAGGGCAACTCGTACTTGTGGGTTCAGTATAAATTATTTTCCTCAAGTAGCACTGTCCCCTGGACCTGGTAAGCTCCCACCCCCTCACCTGGTAGCCAGCATGGTTCCCCATCATCCTGGTAAGGCTTTAGGCAAGAGATGGAGTTTCTGGGGAGCCTCATTCCCTAGCCAGGCTGTCCCACCATTTTGTCTCTGAGGCAAGGCAGGTGCTTAAAGAGGTTGGACCAAGACACTGAAAATATAACAATATTCAGAACAGAAAATAATGTGCTTTCCTGCTTGTGCTTATTTTAAGGAACCAAAGCATGCTTCAACATCCTTCTCCTGAACTGTTTTTTTCCAATAATAAAAACATTGGTACAGGCAAGCTTTTTTCTTGCTAAAGTTTCCGATTTTATTTTGTTCTTTCAGACATATTAATTATAGTTTCTTTTCTCTCCAGCCTATTAGTAATGCTGATTTTATTGTTCCGGTTGAAATAGATGGAACTATACATCAGGTAAGAAGAAAGCAAAGTTAATTTGAGTTTCAGTTAGCATTTTTTGGTAATTACATTTCTTATGAACTTTACTTCTAAATTCCTGTTTCAGTAATAATCTTATTACTGAATCAAAAGGAAGCAAACTTTGTAAAATAAATATAACAGTTTTCTGCTTGTTTTTCACTCAGATGAATTTATACTGAGTTTATAAGGGAAACTGTAATCTATTTGTAAGTATTAGATGTGTTTGCAAGTTCAAATAGTTCTTTGATTTGCTGCAGACTCTTAGAAATGTCCATATATCCCACTGGTCTTGCTTGATGGTCTAATTAACTTCCTCATGTAATTGTTTTCGGCTACTCGCTTAGCAGGCAGCAGGAAAATGCCACAAGGCACCCACTTATGGTGGCTTTTCAGGAACAGATGTCCATTTCCAATGCCAGCCATTCCAGCCTGATCTTGTCTCTCCTGCATCATGTTCTCCAGTGACTCTTTAGCAAAAAACCAACCCAAAGAGAAAGGGAGAAAGGTGTACATTTTGGGGTCAGCAGGTAGCTTTTAATAAAGATACCCTGGTCAGTTGGCGTCCCTCTTTGTTCTGATTTTTTATTTCCCCTTACCTGCATGAAGCTCCTCTGGGAATGGCTTCATTTATGAATGTATTGGAAACATTGTAGGAAAACTAGCCTTGGAGGCTGAAGAGTTGGGAGATTTATAGGGATGACCTGACCATCTTCCTGTCAACCCCACCGTCTTCAAGTGACCGTCTCTGGACTCATGTTCATATCCAGGAAGGGAACTCTCTCTTGATGCTTGATCTACAACAGGATGCCTTTCCCTAATGATGTCAGTAGTCTCTTTGGCCCTTCAGTGTATGTAGGGTGTCAAAACTGGCAAGGTCTTGGAAATCAGTTGGTCCAGCCACATCATTGTCCAGATGGGAAACAGACTCAGCCAGAAAAAGCGTTGGTTCAAGGTCATACAAAGCGAAGAGTTAAAATGAGACTTCCAGTCTCCTGCCCCTTGCTCAGG